AGAGCATTTATTTATATGTATTTATACTGATACTTCACTTGGAAGCCAGAATCGTGTGACGTTCAGAGGTCATCAAGGATTTTGAGTTTTTACATATTATTGTGTGAATGTATTTACCACTTGAGGAAGGAAAAAACCCAACACTATTCAGGTGAACTATCTCTAGTGTGAATGTGGGCAAATTCTGCATGACTTACATTGAATTTTCCAGAACCTTGCATCAGAGATTTCCAGTGGGTGAGCCAACTTGAAACTGTAGGGAAGTGGGGGAAAAAGAGTTGTTAATGGAGTTCCAAGAGTTTAGCTGTTGTAAGAGACTTCCCCCTCTCAACAAAACAAAATGTCATGTTGCCCATGTATTATGCAGCTTAATAGTAAAATACTACTCTTATCTCATGCTTCAGATGGAGAGATGTGAGATGGTAGATAGTGGCAAGTCTTTTTTGTTTGTCTTTGCTTTTCTGTCCTTCTAAATTTGGGCAATGTAACTCCGACTCTTGATATGTCCCTTTCTAACTTACTTTTGGCTATTTCCTGACAGTTTAAACACAAACTGAGAAGAATGTATTATTTTGCTTAGGAAACTTGGAATTCCTTTTTTTCCCCCATCTGCACATGTCTTTCTGTTAGAGCATTGTTTCTCCTCCCTGACAATTTTATGTAATTCATATTGTTAAGCATTTAAAAAGTGTTTTGAATCACAGAGCTGAAGAAAGCCAAGGGTAAGCCATAATGCAGGTACACGACTGTAATATGAAAACATATATAATACGTACCGAACACCCCTTTGCCGTTAATATTACATGTGTACTGCAGAACTTCTGCAATACGATGCCTGATTGTTATATGTGAGAACTGAGTTTAACTATGATTTTTCTACCAACCTTATCTATATTCTCTATTATGTTCTTAAAAGCCAGCAAGCTATGTTTGCTATGTTTTTAAAAGCAAAAAAATGTGTGTGGGGGAAAGTCAGAAATACAGTGACTGTTTTTACACAGGATTTTCTTTAGTTAAAGCTTAAGTGTAAAACAGCTTAGTTGCTATTAGAGGCTGAACTTTTGCCATTTTGCTTGGTCCACTTGACAAATGCATTTCATAGTATGCATTTTTAAAGCTTTATTTAATGGGGGCTATAGTGTTTATATCAAAAGGGTATGATTTGCTTCCTTATATACCTTAAGGAAAGCACAGGGACATAACTTTTAAAAATGAAGTAGGTAAATCCCAAGTCCAATTTGAAGAAGCCTATGTAATGAACATCATGACTTGATATAATTTCTTTAGAGAAGATTGTTAACTAGAAAATGTAAACTCAGCTGTAAAACGTTGATGAACTAAGTGGTAGCCAGCTTAGGTTATGCATCATAGCTTTTAAGACCTAGTTAGAAAAAAGGCAGGTTTAGAGCAAAAAGTACAATATCTACTAAATAGACTCATAGGTACTTTGCCAAAAGGGCTGTGTAATGACTATATTCAGTGTCTTTTATGCATATATAACCTGTGGCAGCAGGTCCAGAGTATACATGTCAGCTACTTTTTATATCTGAACGCTGCAGAGAATGGACCACAAGTAATAGTTTGGGATGAGTGGACCAAGATTTTTAGCTGTATTTCAGTTTTACGTGTGTAGTTTATATTACCTCTTTTATTACAACTTTCATTTATCTGTGATTGTTTCAAGAAATGCTAAAGCAAATAGAGGAATGAAAGCTGTTGGATTGTTTCAGTTAGCGGTATTCTTGTCAGTCTTGTGCTGAATCACTTTTTTTTGAGGTTTCTACTATTATAGTGAGGTTCAACCAGATACAACCATGGCTGGATATTTTTTTGAAAATATTCCTTAAGAAGGCCTACACTATGAAGAAGGCAACAATTACATTTTCTGAATACTTGCTTAAAATAAGTGCTCCCTACGGACTTTTAGAAGTTTTCTGAGATTTGCATGGGTAAATTGTATGACTTTTATTGTTGAATGAGTGTATCCTTTTCTTGATAACATGGAAGGTTTCTTATACCTTTGTATAATGAATCTGAAATAAAAGTGAAAACCAAAAATTTAGATTGTGACCCTTAAGATAGAGCAGAATAAGTCTATTAAGAATAAGTGTGTAAACCCAGTTCGATGAACACCACCTGTTTATGGCTCTACATTGTGACCACTGTAACATGACATATACATGTATGCCTCTGCTTCTCAGAAGTTTCAGTTCGTAGCGGTTAGAATTCTTGCCGTGCAAGTTGGTAGGAACCTATACAAGTTCTTATAAAAGTCTGTTTCTGAAAAGTCTAACCAATTAACTTGGCCTGATAGATGCTTTGAATAAAAGCAAAACTAGCACTTACTCATTTTTCAGAAGTAATTTTGGTTAAAGGAGGTGCACTGATGCCTCAGAAATTAGGGAAAAATATCATCCGAGTTGAATGACTACAGAGCAACAAAAGTTAGTACGTGATTTTGGAAGGATGGGATACAGAGATACGGTTAACTAACACATGCAGCATAACTGTAGAGGTGTGGGTTAAAATGAGAAACCAGTTATTTCACTTAAATGTGTTTCTATAGCTGTTTTTCTTAAATTTTTTTCATTCCTTAATGGATTAAATTAAAGAGTATGCATGACTGGTTTTAGTAGTTCATAATAAATAAACTTTTTCTTTTTTACCTCTCCAGTATCATCTTTAGATTAAGCCAATACTACATCTAATTAAATAATGTTCTGAATTTAGATTAATTACCTCATATTTCTTAAAATGTGCTGACCCCTCATAAGCCTGCATAGTACAAATTAAACTAGAATATTACAGAAAGGAATGCTAACATGAGTAGCTAGATATGGTTATTATATGCAGTAATTATCTTAATACTGTGATGAATAAATTGGGATAAACTAATAAAACAAGCAACAGCATCATCAGAAGTGTGATTTTGAAAGAGGAGATAATAAATATTATTATAAGAGTAACTTGCAATTTGTCCATGCTGTCAGACAGGAAGATCTCGGTAGTGTTGATGTAATTTGCAGAAATACCCTTTTGGCTAGCTTTGGTAGCACAGTTGACAAGAAATTTTGCATGCAACTGAACAGTGTTTTCAATAACTTTTTCTCTTTTTTTTTTTCTGATTAGGTGTCTAATCTCAATTATTGTTTCTTATAAAACGTGTTTTGAGTTGTCAGAGTTATGTTATACGCTGAGAGACACTGCAATCGTAATCCCTTGCTTTACTCTACCAATCTCCATTAACCTACTGTGTATGCATTTTCATTTACTTACTCCTGTGGTTGGATTAAGAATGCAGGAAATGTGTCAAAATAATGAAAGACACTTGCCACAGGTGGCAAGGCAGTTCTTTGACACATGTCTTCCAGGGTACTCATTAGGAATTGAGAGCAAGAAGTCTCTTTAAGACTTTACTTATTTGTACATTTCTGGGTTCTAAATTTGCAAACCTTTTGTGCTTTTTCTTAAAGGCAGCCAAAATACAAAGCAAAACCAGAGCAGTGCTGTTCCTTCTGCACTGAGGAAGGGGGGAGGTGGGGTAGTGAGATGTGTAAAAGATGGAGCAGGGGTCTCTCTTGGTCTCAAGAAGAAAGGCCTGACAACAGTTGGCTTCATAGGGTAGCTCCTTTAATTGGACAAAATAAGCGGAGTAGTGATAAGTGACCAAGTCATCTTCAAACAGTGGGCACCCTGCTTTAGCGTGGCATCAGAGGGCTCTGGTAGACTTTCCTATGGCATGATGTGTGGAGTAGATCCTGTCTTTGCAGAGAAGCTTGTCCTTTTGGTCATTCAAGCTACTATATAATTTCCTTAGAAAACAATTGTACTCCTACAACATGTTTTCATGAGAATTTCTGTGCTTTTAGACAGAGGCAAGGCCATGCAGGTGGCCTAAGTTACCAGTACCAGGGGGGAGCTGCTTGCAGCCCCCTCTGTTATGCTGAGATGGCTACTGTTGTCCTGCAGCCAAGGGGCATGTGCAGCACAGCAGAGACCTGTTGTCCCTAGTTCTTAAACGTGCATCACTCTACCAGTCAGCAACCCTACCTTCCACTCCTTGATTCTCATACTATTTCCAGGAGTATTTCCTAAATTACAGATTATATCAGTTACTAAATAGAGCAGAGATGGCCTGTTCAAATTCAACAACTTCTAAAATACGAGGTCTTCTGCAAGGTCCTGGTACATTATCCTAGTAATTATTTCAGTTTTACTTTTGTTGTGTAAAAGAGCTCCTAGGTTTTGTTTGACTGGTCAGTTTTTCTAATCATGTGAAGTTGTGTGAGCTTTTTGAAGTAATTGAAAAGAACGGTCCTTTTTCATCTCTTGTTATAAAATGGAGGAAACCAAATATGGAGAGAAAAAAGAATGACAGTATTTCATCATTTGATGAAGGTATCCAGCAGAAGTGAAAGGCAGCAGAAGAAACCCAACAATTTAAGTTTTATTCTTTTCTTTCTTGATCTGAAAGCTGACCTGTGCCTCTTGTGTTGCTCTGCCATTCTCGTCTATATTGGTCAGGACTCACAGAGCATAGAAAAGAAGAAAGAATTGAGATATTAATTGGCCTACTAGATGGTTTGCACAGTAAACAAATCACAGTTATCATCTTGATGGCATTAAACTGCATGTCTGTTTAAATTTATAAGAACATGGTGGGGAAATAGCAATGACGGGAAATTAAGGAATCTAACAGTAATCCATTTGGGAATGCCCTTTCTCCCATTACTTATCTGAAGCATACCTATATATCCTCACCTTTCAGCTTCTGCTTGTGAACATCACTCCTGTGTCTGACACGCCTGGTTTGCTGTCCCTTTGCAAATCATCTCTGTGAACAGGGTCTTTCTTTCTTGTCTTGACTTGCATTGTGTATTTGTGTGTTCTTTAAATTGAATTTCTGTGTAGTGTGCTATTTCATTTTTCACTATGGTTTACATAAGAGGTGTTACATGAATTATTTCTGACTGCCTGCATATGTTGTGGTTATTTTATAGGTGGTGATCCGTGCTCAAAATGGCGAACTCCTCTATCGTATTTCACCTTGGGCAAGATACGTAGTCCGTGATGAAGACAAAGTAAATTACGATTGGGTACACTGGAATCCACCACAGTTGTACATTGTAAGGCTTAAATGTTATTTTCAAAAGGTGTATAAAAACACGTTTGGAAGAAAGAGTTGTTCCACAAAAAGAGAGTAGCAATCTAGTTAAAGTAGCTACCTGAGAAATGAAAAGGTTTTAGTCATGGCTTTGACAGAAACAAGTGACTTGAATGATGCATGTTTTTGAGGTTCTTTATTGGTCTCCTATAGAGCATATAAAATAGTTAGCTGTTGTTAAAGTGGTATTTTAAAGTTGGCTTCCCATATGCTAGGCAAGCTCAATAACTATTCCAGGACTAGGCAGCCCTTCCTGGTACAGAGGGGAGAGCAGGGAATTACCAGAACTGGGTTTAGAAATTTGTTAGCCATAAATAGAAAGTTCAGTACTCAGTAATAAGTCAGTGCTGTATGAAGTCAGAGAAGCTTTCAAAAGTAAGGTGCTCAAGCTCGAGTCAAATACTAATTTCTTTTGTATGAAGAAAATCTGTTTATTGTGGTGGGTGTTTTGTTTTTTTTTTTAAATCCCTCTTACTTCTCATGTGCTGCTATAACGTGGGGGGAATTCTCTACGTGATATATGAAAAAAAAATCCTAGAATAATGTTCAGAAACTTCAGACTGAGTGTTGTGTCATTATGCTTTTTGATGTTTTCACTAAAAATGTTATGTAGTATTTTGTACTACAGGTAAATCAACCTTTGAGTTAAGTTTTAGCACTCGCTTCAAATTGAGGTATCTGCTTGGCAGAGAAAGGCTAACTCTCTAAGAAGTGGAATGGGGAAGTAATTGTAAATGCAGTGGTCTGTATGAACTAGAGTTAAAAGGAAGTGAGAACATTTAGGGTACAAATAAAGCCTTACTGAGTTAAGGCAGAAAAAAAAAATTGAGTCCTTCTATGAATAGGATAGGTGCCTGGTGGAAGTAAAATACAGAGAAGAAACTTCAACCAGAACTTCACATTGTCCCTTTAATTTCTGTTTACTGTTCATATATATGTGTGTTTTTACTAGTTTTATTCAAATGAAATTTTGAAAAGTTAGAACATGAAATGAGCAAATAGAATATTTCTGTTTTTTAAATGAGAGATGGAGGAAAAAATAATTTTGGGAAAAACATGTTTTAATCGGTAGTTTTCTTGAGTTTCTTACGACTTCTTTAAAAAGTAAAATCCCAATCAAGTCTAAGATCTCCTGCAAGTGTAAGGAGGAGGCTCTCTGAACTTAAGTTACATCAATATTCCTTTAAATTTTCTCACCCATCTGGAAATACTCTCTACTTGCCTACAGATCTGAAATTTTTATTTTATTAATACTAAATAATTGGAATACAGATGATGCTGTGCTGTGGAGCTGTGTTCTTTAGGAATAAAATATTTATAAGTTTTAGTTTGGAGAAGGCAGAGCAACTTCAAATACCTGCAAAAAGCAGGTATGCTTAAAAAATAAAAAAACTATCTTTTATTTTCAAACGAGGTTCATAGTAATTCAGAAGAACTTTGTGGTACAGTGGTTGCTGTAAGTTTATATACTTCAGTGTGATTTAGAAAGCGCGTAAGTGTTGTATCATTGATGTCCAGTTTCTTGTTCGTGAAGAATGTTCATTAGAAATAGAGATTTTCTTTAACAGTTCAGAATGCTTTATTACTTGTGAAATGTTTGTGCTTTTCAAGGGGGGGGGGAACCACAAAACAAACCTTATTGTTTTCAAACTTGTGCAAATTATGTGGTTGTGACAACATTTCTAAACTGTCGTATCCTAATAACCATTTTTTTTTCCCTTGTAGCATAAGCATCCTTCCCCCAACAGATTAAAAAGCCTACGAATTTATGAATCTCATGTGGGGATTGCTTCCCCAGAAGGGAAAGTAGCTTCTTATAAAAACTTCACTTACAATGTATTACCTAGAATAAAGGATCTTGGTAAGTAATAACAGATACTTTCAGAGATAAAATTTTTACATACCTGTGCTCTTATTAGAAACAATAACTATATAGTATACTTCAGTTTTTCGCATTTTCAGCTTAAATGTACTCTCAAAATTGATTCTTAATGCAGCAAAATAAACAAGTGAAATTATGGAGAAGAAACAGACTAAAATAGGGTATGTGAATCAAAATCCATTCCACAGATTTTTAAGTAAAATGTGGTTAGAAAACCTAGATAATTATTGCAGGGCAAGTTACTTTTGGCATGGTTTGCTTTCAGCTTGAAAAAGGACCCTTTTTTGTGAGATAGTCTTCAGAAAATATTGTGTTCTTAGTTGGTTCTACTAATGTAAACCTTGCTTCTAAGGAAAGACAAAGAAATATCTGGATATCAAAGGTTTTTCTTTCTGTTGGACCGAATAAGCTTGCTATTTTCTCTTATCCCTGAACAGTTGCTATGACGTATCAGAACAGGGAAACTTTAAATGTGAGAAATACTCTTAGAGAAAATAATTGGAGGGGATGTATGAAAGATCTGGCATGTTTGTCTCAGGAAGCATAGCAAAATTGTTCACTTCAATTTCTCTTTGATTATATTTTTCATGTGGTGTCTTTGCACTGTTTTGTAACAGACCATATTAGAACTTGCTGGCTTTTACTGCCCTGTGATGAAATATGTTTTGTTACACTCAAGGGTAAAATCATGTTGACATCGATGGCTAAGACCTCTGTGGATGGTGGCTGTGCTTATGTGTTGTTTGGATTATTTTTTTTAATTTCAGGTTTTCTTATTTATCATTGCCTGAAGCAGCCATACATTTTTCTTGTATGTCTAATTGTTGAGTCAGTGTTTCACAGAATGTGTCTTTTAACTTTCAATTAAGTTGAGCTTGCAGGTGAGATGAGGGAGCTCTCACATCTGGAGGTCCTTAACAAAAAGTAAATTTGGATTCCATATTACATATCTTTACTCTTTCCTTACTGCCAAAGAATTTCAGTCATTCCAGGAGGTTAATATGTGTATCAGAATTATGACAACTTTCCTAAAGCTGAACATGAGCTGGCAGTGTGTGCTGGCAGCCCAGAAAGCCAGCCGTATCCTGGGCTGTATCAGGAGAAGTGTGGCCAGCAGGGCGAGGGGGGTGAGTCTTCCC